ATTATTTTTTTCTATGACGCTTTTTGTAGAAAACCATGATTTGGTAGGAGTTAGTCTGTGTTCTGGGGTGTTTTCCTTCCGGTTCCGCAGCACACGATGACTCTTCGTGCTGTTTTAATTTCATCTTCAGAATGTGTGTGAATAGGGCACGGGCACGGTGGAACGTTGATTAGTCTGAATCGCATCTTGAATCATCTGAACATTGAAAGACGAGGTCACGCATTCTGCGCTCATAACGACTATTAATATTACTTCGAGGACCTCGATGTGACTAACGATGAAGCTGTTTTTCTTCCGTTTCGACGGACAATCTGTTTGTCCGAGCATAGGGGCTACAGATTTATTCGTCGTCGTTTCTCTTGGCATTGGGGAGGAAATCACAACTAAAACTTTTTGTTGTTTACTCCTCGGAATTGGGTATTTTTTGTGCGTTCCTCATTCCGCGTTTTTCTTATTCTCATTTCGTAACCGATGCAGTTCCGCTTGAATGTTTTGTTATTCGTAGAGGAGACATTTTCGATCCGTCTCGCTCACGCCACCGACTTTCACCCTTAGTTCACATGGTTCCATATCCGCTTTGACTCCTCAAACGAAACCGACCCTTTTACTTTATTTTTTCACGCATTACGGTAATGGTACGGTATGTGCGCACCCCTGGCTATTGACGAGATGTTCCGTTCTTCTTGAGACCTCTAGAAAGTGGGGATTAAATTTTTGGTTGTCAAGGTCTGGAGATTATCTGTGGTGTGGCTTGGTGAATTTTTTTTACGATGTTGAGAATCTAATCAAATGTACAACATTAATTTATCCTTTTCGTTGACATTCCAGTCATTGTGAAAAGATAGTATTTTAGCAAAAAAATAATAAAGTTTGTCATTTTTTCTGTTTTTTTTCTGATTTCCTCTTTACTTTGCTGTTAATGAACCCATTCCTACAAAAGATAATGTCGCAGGTGTTTTTTCCAAGTCATTTGGAATCTATAAAATCCTACTAATGGTTCCATCTGTCTGATTTGGGTCGAAGTGCTGTCTTCCAACAAATCTATCGCATTACCCTTACTCTCGTCCGATTACTCGTCCTCGTTTATTCCCAATCTCGTCCGTCACATCTTCCCAGATCTCAAAGTTATCCATTCCTGTCAACTTCAACCTTACACTTTTGATTCTATCACTATCTTTACAAGCTACCAGCTAATACGATTAACATCTGAGTCAAAGGAGCTGGTTTTTAGCGAGTGCCAGAGGAGAAAACGCTTTCGAAACTGGTTCTTTTCATAACTTCTAGTGTCATTAATGTCTGGAGAAGTTGGCTATGATCACTTGATGGGGAGAATCTGTTCTGAACGCTAAACGATCGCCATTCTTACGATTCGCTATTTTTTCTTAGTTTCATTTAAAGCTCGCTATACAACTCAAACTGTACAATCACTTTGCCTTCCTCTCCGAATCCTAGCATGATGCTTTCCCTTGTAGCATTATCTCTAAAAAAGTAGCCATTTATCATGCCCTATTTATTTTCTTATAGGCTTTCATAAGGATTTGCTCTTGTCCTCTCCATCCTTTCCCAACATCATTAAAATTTCCCCATTATTTGTTCTCATGTACCAACCCAGGCAGTCATTTATTCATTCATAGCTTCATTCTTCCTTTTCTTTCATGGAAGCCACTAAATCTCTCTCTTCGAAATTTTTTTTATTTAAGTCAAATAATATCCTCATAGCTTTTACATACTGAAACATTAGCGATTACTTGGCCAACTTCCCAGTGGCATCATTTTACACATTTATTCCGGTTTATCTGTTTTCATTTTTCTAAAATTATAATATCCATAATACTAGGTTGTCTCAAAAGTTCTGTCCGATTTGTAATTTTTTCATCTAAAATCTCATAACTTTCTTCAAAATTAACAATTTTGAACAAATTGAATTTTGTTGAATTGAGCGAGTTTATGGCTATCACGTGCACTGTATGCCATGTAAGGAAGGCAAGCAAGAGAGAAGAGAAAATTTTTCGAATTCCGTAAGGTTTTTTTCAAAACCGTCCAGTCACACACTAATGCGTTGTCGCTCGTTGAACAACTGAGTTTGTCTTCCATGTTTGAAAAAAATTGAAAAGTAAGACATTCTCTACGTCGGAGAGAAAGTGTGCTTACGTTAGCCCATTACAGCCTCACCCATTATAAAATATTACATATCTAGTTTCACGGATACTGCGGAAGTTCTCTTCATGGAAACTATTTTTTGGGCATGACTGCATTTTGGCAACTTTGCTTCGGGGCTTGAAATTTCATCACTGGAAAGTTGATTCGCCAAGCATCAATGAGCACTAGAAAGAGCATGAAAAGTATCTTTAGATGATGTTTTTGATAATCCCGTAAGTGCAATATCCTAAGAAAATAGCTGCGTTGAAACAAGGCAACTGAAAATCGGACACTTTTGAAACAGCCTAGTATTATGCTCTCTCTATTTTCTTCATTCATCCATCTGTTGATTCATTCAAGCACCCATTCGTTCAATCACTCATCCTCGATTTTTACTCTCATTCATTTTATTCATTTATTTCTCACCTGGTCCATATGACTCGTTTTCGACGTTATCCCTTATATTTTTCTTTTCTTTATCAATGGACATCACTGATCCTTGACTTACAACTAAGTACTACTAAGTTATCAGTATTTATTCACCCGATTAACTTATGAGATCTCTTTATCAGTTAGTTTTACCACAGTATATATTTCAGTTTTGGATGTGTCCTTTCGTTTACTTCTCCTTTCTTCAAATTCGTTGCATTTTCGGTTCTGCAGTTTCGCATATTCGCTGCATTTTTCGCACAAATATTATTTCTGAAACAAATCATTAGACGACGTCACCGGGACGACAAGTTATTAAAAAACGGGCTACAACCTTTTATAAGGTTCTTCTACCAAACACTTATCCTTATATTTGATGCCGTAGCCCAAATATTGGTGTTCCACTGTTGTAGAACCTTTTTTGCTTGAAATATCAAATTCATCCAACCACTGGATCATCTCAATTCATCCCATTCATTCTGTCCACTTATCCCTAAATATTTGCTCACTTGAGCTCGATGGAGCATTTTGTTGTGTAGTTAGCCGCTCAGTACCGGTTAGGAGAGTGACGTCTCAGGCACATCACCACAAATACCACTGAACGTTCCAGTGGATTTTCCACTTGAAAACGATGTGCTTGTTGTCGTGCAAATGCAGACTCGCGGGTAAACATTGGTTATCTGCGAAAGTGCTGGTCAGCTGCAGCTTAAGTTTGGCTCTTTCCAACTGAAATACATTTCAGCTAAGAAATTAGAGGTGGAAGAGCATATCAGGGCTAATATATAGTGTTTTACAGTGTCTTACCAATTCCTGGATGTATACGGTAGGTGCACGATAGCAGGCCTGCTTTCAAAACCATTTCTGTTGTACACTGGTTTGATTCTGGCTGCCTGGTTTAGTCTTCTCTTAAAAGCTCTCCATACTGTACGATCTATCCGGCTTTTCTCGCCAACAATTACGGTAACTTTGACCTATTCTTGCAGCGCTTCCCATGATCTACCTATTGGTTACGGTAACATATCTGCTCTCAAGAGCTTCACCTGCTCTACCTACAATCATATCGGATTCAGGCTTCAAGGGGGGGGGGGGGGAGGAGGAATTTCGGTAGAATACCATAGGGATCGGTTTGCTTAATTTGTCTTCAACTTTGCAACAGTCATGATGTGTAATATCTAGGCTTCTCGGGTTACGGCACTAGGGGCTGCTAGGAGGTTCGTCTTGGGTTTGCTAATCACAGTTCTTTTTTTCCAATATGCATCTTATTGTAGACAAACTAAATGCTATGCAACGCAAGTTAATTTCGAAAGAACAGCGATTATTTTTTTTGCCTGAAATTCCTTTTTTGTGCCATGATTGTGCATCTTATCGCCTGGCAATGTTCATCCTGCGTGTTTACCTTAGGCTTACCAATTCCGCTAACCTGTAGTATCGTTGTAACCGTCTTTTCATTTGAAGAAAATCTACCTGCTCAACTATCCTTTTTTTTCTCTAAGATCTATAATGTTGCAATAAAAAATGGTTAAATACAACTCAAGCTTGCTAACAGAATGCAGTGATTTCTTTTACAACTGAGCTACGATGATCTAGACTTGGACTGCTGTTAAAGCAATAATATGCTTATTTTGCCATTGTTATAGGGCTGAAAGTATCAAAATTCCTGCCTTCATCGAAGAATATTAGCGGTACCTTTTACGTCGCTGTAAAATGAATTCGCGCAAGTGTTTTTAAAGACGAGAATTAAGACAAACATTTTTTTTCACTGAAGTGGCCACACTTAAGACATGGTGATAGAGGATGGTGAGATGTAATGCTTGCTTCAACGAATATTTTGCAATTTTGAGTCGGCTGGCAGTCCCGATATTAGCTAGAAAACGGGAAAGCGAGCTTTCTATCTCATAGGGATTCTTCACATCATGCTCATAGGGCATGTGGAGCGCGGTATTATTAAACATTTTGCATTTTCGAGTTTCCTATTTGTGATGTGTAATCCTCATATCTCAGTTGTACAAGTACCATTACCTGACAATCTAGATTTCTTGCTGTTAACTGCGGTTATCATTCTTACCTACAGCTACCTCTACCTAATTCCTATCCATTTTTCTAGCTCCACCTTTCCACAGCGGTGGTTTTTTCCAGCAATTTTGCCGTTGATTACGATTTGCCTCACTTTCTCACCCCCACTGCTGGGAGCTTCCGTAGAGATCAGTAGGCGTTGCCGATCTGACTGAACGCCGAATTTGCATACCTATTACATATGCGTCCGTTCTTCTTCTGAAGAATCCGTAATGAGTGTCTAGAATTTTTTTTGGCTTGCAAGCGTTATCGCGCTGCCAAATGACATTTATCCTGCATATAACTTCTTCATAGAGTTGTCACCCTACCTTTCTTTTTAGAGTGAACTTTAGGTAAAAACTTGAATGTCAATTTTTCAGACATTCACATCAGCATTTGAAATGGCGCCCACTGGAGGGCCACCGAAGCGAACTGACGTCATATTCGAGGCATTGTCAAAAGGATTTTCGTGAGTTTTTTAGGTCTTATTTTTTCTAGGCTGCGAATAGATCACTGTACAGTCATAGAGCTCAAAAACTAAGGTGGTAGCAGTTTGATCACTTTTTGTTAGTTTTCTCATGTAATGGCATGATTAGCCCCTCTATAAGAATTTTTCATCTGAATTTAGATACCGATGGCTAGACTATATGCCAAATATTTGCCTCATTCTCTCATTCTCTTGAGTCTCATTCATTTTCCAAATTATAGCGTTATCAATGGTATCAAGGCTGTTGTGACATTGATGATTCCTTTTAAAGTTTCGATCTTTTGTAAAGCTTAAAAAAAAAGGTGAAATGTTCGTGGATGCTTCACATATTTTGCACTTACTTATTTTGTCGGGGTATAACATAGTAAATGTATTTTCTGTGGTCCTAAAATGTGCTAGAGCTCTATACTAATTACCTGCTAACCTTTGATTCAACTGGCTTGGCGGCTGCAAGGCGGGGCCTTTTGGCCTAATTAAGGCCGCTCACGCCTACGACGCAGTCTGCGTCTCTCTCGCGCGCGTACTCTCTAATCATTACTCTGCATTAATAAGGTCATGAAGCCCCGCCTTCCAGCCGCCAAGGCAGTTGAATCAAAGGGTACATAGTCAAATTTTTAAACAAAATTTTGCATATGTAATTTTGTGGATGGTAACCCATGCTTCGCTATGATAAGTAAGGTAATTTTTTTGAATTTAGCTGTAATAATAATATAACCTTTGATTCAACTGGCATGACGACTGGGAGGTGGGGCTTTGTGACCTAATCGAAACAGCCCGCGCCCGCGACGCAGTCTGCGTCTCTCCCGCGCGCGTACTGTCTGATCATTACCTAGTCTTAATTAGGCCATGAAGCCCCGCCTTCCAGCCGTTAAGTCAGTTGAAATAAAGGGTACTCTTCATAACACCTGGCTCACTTTATTGGGATCAATGAATGTTTTTACTTGCTTGTAGAGTAAAGGATGGTTTCTTCAAGAACCAAAAATTTATGGTGTTTTTATAGTTTCGTTTTTCTATAGATTCATACTTCTTCCTCACAAGCTCTTGGTAATTTACAAATTTTGAATTCTCATAGAATGTTATGGAATAGCACCCCCATCTCCCCGTCGACGAAGAAAAATCACATTGTAGGCTTGTCGTGTCTTCTACGCAAATTTTTATGCATTACCAGCCCGAACGCAGCTTTATAGTGACTACGATGTATAAAACCCCCGATCTTGTATTGCGTTAATGTGCTTCATGACAACCCTTTTTACAACTTGCAATATAGAATCCAAGAAGTTGAACCAGAACGTTCCAGTTTCGCATTGAGCGGGATGTTATTGCTTACGATTCAAATCAATTTGATGTGGCGTAAAGTCCGGGATTAATCGGTGCTGATAGCACATAATAAGCTCAATGGGGTATTATCAAAGTGTGTGTCTTAAGTAATCCGATTTTGGTACATTTGAGTTGCTTGCGATTCAAAATGTTCATTGCCACTTCCAATCTGTTTTGAAGAGTCTCTCCCCACAAACTTCGAAATGTTAACTTTGCTGTGAGTTTGATTAACTTTTCTCTCCCCCTCTCTTATGTCGGTTATGAACTTCATAAAATTATATTAGAATTATATCTGACATTTGTGGCTTACCGTACTTGGGCTTCTACATATTTCATAGAGCAAAATTGGTTGCTATTGAGTATGAACAAAATGTTGCAAGGGATGATGTTATTGCGCGTACCCGTTGATTCAACTGGCTTGGCGGGTGGAAGGCGGGGCTTTGTGACCTAATTAAAGCCGCTCGCGCCCGCGACGCAGTCTGCGTCTCTCCCGCGCGCGTACTCTCTGATCATTACCTAGTTTTAAATAGGCCACAAAGCCCCGCCTTCCAGCCGCCAAGCCAGTTGAATCAAGGGTTAGAATAGATTGCAATCATTGGTTTCTTTGAGAAGCATAACAATTTATATCTGATTTTTATAGATTTGTATCTTTAGTGGATCTAAATTCGTATCTGTAGTCGAAAGAATATTTGCAAAAACCAGCAACTCACAGCTTTGCGGGATACTTTTATGGATAGCATTACATTTTATGTCGAATTTTTTGTAATTTCTGTAGCTTTATTGCATCTTTTGCTGTATTCGAAAAAATGTTTGCAAGCACTAGCAGCTTACAATAATATAATTCCGAGGGTATTTCTGGCTATTGTATCAGAGTGAGGAATTGCCGAGGAATTGGCTCTAGTGTCGCTATGGCTAAAGAAATAGGGATAAGACCTCCAGAATGTTATTGTTATACTGATAGATAGTTGAGACAGTATACGGTATGCTACCGTAACCTTGGGCTCTAATGTACGAAGCGATTTGAGTTTCAGCCGTCTACTTCGCACGTGCACACCCTTTTTTAGAAAACGCACTAATGCACCTTAATCTGAAACAATATGCGGGATTACGGTCACTTACGGAAAATCAGCTAAGGCTTTTATCCAAAAAAGTGGAGCAGGAGTAAGAAATAGTGAATCGAGGCTGACATTAAAGAACCAAAGGGCTCTACTGTAAGCAGTGCCGCAAAGCTTGACTTGTGATTTTTGACAAACTAGAAGAGGCATTCATACTTTGAGTGATTCTTATTCGTAACGATAAGCTGCTACATGTAATTCTACGAATATCTGTTATTCCACTTATCTCGAGATCATTGCAGATCCTTCATTTCGCACTACACTAACGAGGTGCAACGCCTACGCGACGAACTCACGGACGCTGAACCCGCTCAGTTGAAAGTTATCCATGATGTAAGTCAAAAGTACCTTTCACGACTGCTTTTGTTATTCTTTTTTTTTGTTTTTGTGCTTTTCTCAGGTGCTAATTGCTTTGTTTATTACCATTTTCGGCTTTTTGGTGTATTAGAAGAATTTGAGCGTGTGGGAAGAGGGATGTTTGTCAGTGGCGATCGCAGAAATTTTGCATAAAGTGTGGAGACGTCACAGGAAATTTTAAAGGGGGCTATGTATCTATAACCTATTCTTGATTGAGGGGGGGGGGAGAGGCGGGACTAAATTGCTACTAATCGCTCCTTCGCTCTTTTGTCGCAAATGTCCATAAAATTCCTTGAGTATAATAGAATTGGAATCAGCATTTTTTGAGACCGCTGAGTTCGCATATTATTCGCTTTTGAAATTTTCTCGCTATCCATTTTTGTAGTATGGGGAGAATTTACATAACTTCCGAGTTTTATAAGTTACCAACAAAAATTATATCTGTTGCCATGTGATTGTAAATCCACCTCAAGGAGGGAATCTAAATGGGAAATGAAGGTTGGGGAAACGACAGAAAGCTGTAGCTACAGCTTCTTTTTTGCATTTCCACTGAGTTGAGAGTTGGTTTTACTCAGAGTGCACTAGGCTCGAGAGTTCTGGAAAATCTAGTCTAAAGCTACTAGTCGCCGGCGGATTGTGGAATTTGCACAGAGTGTGCGGTTCTCGTATGTGTTTAGACAGAGTACTCTTTATGTATCGATTGCTGCTTTCCATCACAAAATTTTTTGAAAACATCAAAAAAATTTTAAAGCAAAAGATGCACCTGTAAGGTGTTATACCTCATAGGCATGGATACAATTTTTTTAGGAACTCTATCGTGCTGAAGAAAGTCTACAACTGTACGAATCCCACAAACAACGTCTTGCCAAACTCTATGAGAAGTATCGTACTGGTGCTTACAGTAACATGAAAGGTAAGTTTTTCCATTGCCATTGTTTTATTGTCTCTACTTCGTCAAATAACTGCTACCTTTTCCCATTGCTGCTAGCTTTGTACATTCTTGACTAGCAGTTCACAAAAAGTCATCACCAAAAAGTCATCAAAGCGCCTTGTTCCAGTCGATTCGTGCCTTGGGAATCTCAAGAAATCTTATCTACCGAAAAAATCCACATCTTTACAAATCTAGCACAGCACAGTTGTTCAATTCACAACTTCTTTATGTTGTTTGCTTGCCACTAGGAAACATTCCTTTCATTCCGTTTTGGGATGGAAATTCTTGTTAAAATGCTGAAGATCTTGTACTTTCTATACATATTTAAGAAATGTATGTCCATGCCTCTTTATCGGCGTGATTAATCTGTCAATTATGAAAAAAAAAACATTCCAGATTTTCTCACCCTTTCAATTCTACTTAATGGCAAAATACGTTTGCGTCATTCCACTTTGGAACCGATTATCATCGGCTCATTGTTTTTTTTTGAGACCTAAGAATATGCAATGGGAAATTTTTCTTCGGAAGAAATTGTTTCATAGTGCCTGAGATCTGATTTCACTATAAGGGGCAAAATAATTTTATCACAATCGATATTCGATTCGATATTCGATCGGGCTTTTTTCAAATTTGTCTTCTCTCTTCTTTGTTTTATTTTACTGCTCTCTCTCTAATTTTCTACCTATATGTGAGGCAGAACTAGATAATTTTTTTTGAAGACCGGAATTCATTGAAACGATATTTGTCTTTGTAGCAGACTTAAGTTGTGGAAACGCTGACCCGCTCAACAAGAGATTATTTAAATCATTTTTTCTCAAAATTTTTTTTAAATTCTATGTTTTCAAGAACTTCATAAGTGTTATAGGCAAAATCAACGCTCTCATGCGAAGAAATAGAACTGATTTTGGTCAAAAATATAGGATTATAGTATATTTTTAGAATGTTTTTGGCAACAAAATTATGGGAAGCGTGCTGAGATACACAGGAATGTTTGATGCAGAATTTTTTCTCTATTTCGAAACAAACAAATCCGCTCTGCGCTATATTTTGAGAAGCTAATCTATTTGAGGAAGTCCAATACCAGCGGCTTTAATTTTTCAAGCTTAGTCAGAAGCGCTCATAATAGCTAATTCCTTCCCTCGCCCTGCTTCGCTTCCATGCACGGGGTCTAGTCTGGCACATGCCGCTCGGATCGTTTTTGCTCGGCTCGGCTACGCACTTCTTTCGGCGACAACGACGATCGGGTGCTAATGCGCTTCTCGTCCGTCGATCGTCTCTCTCTTGTACTCCGCCTTCCAATGGTCAACATCATCTATTCATTCGTGCGTTCAGCTGAGGTGTTCGGACCGTACAATAGGTGTCTTGCTTGAGGATCTTCTCAAAGCAAGATGATTCTTTAGCGCTAGTCACGAGAAGGTCCCATTTTTGTACCAGTTGTCCTGATCCTTGTAGTAGGTTTCTCATCAGTAATTCAAGCAGACCAAGTGGTTTTGTCTATCTTGCACTACCGACTCTGTAACCTCCACTACCATCATTAACAGCACCAGCACCACCAGCATCAGTACCACCACCAACTACTAAGCCACCGACACTACCAGCATCACCAGCACCACCATCCTCACCATCCTCACCATCACCACCATCATCACCATCATCACCATCCTCACCATCATCACCAACATTACCAGCATCACCAACATCACCAGCATCACCATCCTCACCTTCCTCACCATCCTCACCGTCACCACCATCATCACCATCATCATAATCACCATCATCACCAACACTACCAACATCACCATCATCACCAATACGTGAATGAACTATTGTGAAGCACGTACTCTACAGCAGTAACGTATCTTCATGTCGCATTTCCTCCCCCCCCCCCCTCTCCTCCACCTCCCAACTCCCTCCCCTCCTCCTCTGCTGTCAGTGTGTATCATCATAGAATATTCTGCGCTCTGTGCGCTCAAAAATCGAAACAGCATCATCCTATTGTGCTGTTTTTTACTACGAATAGCGTCAATCGACCTCCACTCCTCCTCGTTTCGTCTCAATAATTGCCTCTTGAGAGTTTGAGCGCCGAGTGCACAGTTTTCCAGCTCAAAATGTAAATAGATCGTATCGCTTTTATAGGACAGGATCGATGTTGTGCAATGTGTGAGGTTTGAGATTGTGGGTCACATACCCGTAAAGCATAAAGCAGATGCTGTGATGTACTTTCTCGTGACTCAATTCGTTTCTGAGAACCCAGGCCCACTTTACTTGAGCCATTCCTTCTCTTTCCTACTTACTGGGTCCTTTTAGAACATTTTCTGGGATAATAATATCTCGCCGTTTAGTATTGAGAGACTCTTCCCTCATCCCTTCCTTCCATCTAAGTAAATATTGAGAATCCTGTGTAGATTACATAAACGGTATCATATGGTGATATCAAAAATTTTCTTGCAAAGTTATAAATTCTTTTGTTTGGCATCATAAAGTCTTTTGTATGGTCAGTTTTTGCCCACATTCAAATTCCTAAATCGAATCAAACTTCTTTTCTTCTTTATTGCATCGAGAATCGAAAATGTTATTTTGTTCAGAATACCTCTATGTAAGCAGAAGTGTCAGACAGTGAAAACACATGATGCGGAATTTTTCAAACACATTCCATATCTTTAATGTCCTTACGTACGTTTTAACTTCTTTTTCGTTCACCGTAATCTTTGATATCAACCGTTATCAGTGTCTATTTGCCATTCTGTACCAAACTAACCGATCTGAAAACTTAATGATTAGAGTTGACCAAATTTGTTTTCTTCAGGAAGGCAACAATTTGATGCTTACTCCGCTTGTTGTTCGAAGGATCTCAAGGATCTTCTGCTTAGGATATTGATAATTTTTGTACATTGCTTTGAAATCTTTTCGTGCTAGAGCCCTAAAATTCTTTTTCCGACATCTCGGCCGCAATTAGCTGGACAAATTCCCGGTCGTCGCTAATTAACTCTTCTTCTTCCGTCGTCACCATTGCACTGCAACTATTTTCTGTGCCACGACGACGACATTGCGAGCACATTTCTAGCGCTTCTTAGCCATGGTTTTTCTGTGCTCGGAGTATTTCGCATAGCGGTTGACCTCGTTTGTTCCCGTTGCGGACTCATTCGAACATTTGGCCAGCCAACTAGCGGCTTTGGCTTCTCTTCATCTGCTTAAGCTTTTTCCTTTTCTCCTCAGGGCTTTCCCTCCTTTTCAATTTCTGCTGCCTGAGCATCTTACGTTTTTTATATGATTTTATTAGCGATTTTTGCACTTGCGGCTTATACTTGATCCTCTTAGCAAAATTTTACGATTCAACGAGCGATACACACATCGAGCTGGACGAGTTTCTGATTTATATTGAAGGCTCAGGGGATTGATTTTATTTGCGTCCGTGCTTCTTCATAAATTTACGAGCGTACAGCGTTACAGTCAAGCTGGCTTCCTAAAAATAGATTCCGGCTGGACTTTTTTTTTGGTAGCTTGGCCATGAATATGCTAATTCTATGAAGCCTATAAGCTTGAATGTAAGATTCATGGTAAGGAAATTTATACGAGCCAGCGGCACCTTTGCACTACAGTATCCTATGACCATGCTGCGCGACTTGTTGCAAAGCGTCGCTCGAGCGTGACGGGCGCGATTGCGGTCCTGTATGGAAGTACGTGATAACTCAATCGCAAAACTGTCTGCGCTGCTATAAAGTGCGTTTTGCCCAGCGCCAATTGTGTCAGTTGCCTGCAGAGGCGGAGAATGTTACTATATATACGCGCGCCCTGGGGGAGGTGAGAGGAGAGGGAGTGTTGAAAATTTTGCTCTTTCCGAAGCAATTTTTTTCTTGATTGTCAAAAATTTTTTGTGGAAGTTCCAAATATGTTATATTTTGTCATGTTTACAGTCCTCCTGAAATGCAATTGGGCCATTTTTCAGCCCGCTAATTATTGATTGTCCAATTCAGCTGAGGAAGAAGCTCTAAAATGCACTTTCACAAGAAATTGCTCGAACTTTCTCCCTTCTTTCGAACTGGCCAGCTTAGCGCTTCAACGCAAATAGTCTGAAACGGCCAGTTCGAGCGAGTTCGCTGGCTAAAATGAGCGATAGCGTCAGTCTTGCTACTGTTTGCTCGTCGCATGCGAAGCGTGTAGTTGCACACCAAACACCTAATCTAATATGGGCGTCAGGCCTAATAATTGTCGTTGGGCAGGCTTTTACATATTGAATTAAAGCAGTCTAATTGTAGATCATATTTTCACGTCATTCTTTCTGAATTTGATTCAAATTTGAACTGTAGTTGCATCATCATTGTGTGCTGAAATTTTATGGCAAACAACTTTTTGGCGTCACTTACCGTATGCAGCGTCTCCAAGTTTTTGAATCACATTCCAATTTGTAGTTAATGAAATAAGAAAAATTCGAGATGATGCCTATAAGTAGTAGATTTGATCCTGTGTAAATCTGTTGAGTGAAACTTCTAACGCTTATATTCCCAGCTATGCGAAGCCAGTTCTACCAGTTTCACTAGTGTCAGATTCACTTTGAAAAAAAAAACCCTCAAAGCCTTGAACGTTGCACTAAAAGTATGTAGAGGATGTTAATGTGGGTTGTTGGCAAAAGTCAAGAGGGTAAGTCAGGTCTTACCATTAGATATTAGCTTATAAATTGCTTGAAACCGTTACTTAAACACTTTTGGCAAAGCATTCGAGTTGCTGCTGCTGTTTCTGCATTTACGGACTTCGCATCGTCACTACTTGCTTACTCTGGGCTAATATATTCGAAAAGATTGAATAGATACATTTATGGACTTCCCTAGTAGCCCAGAACTATTCTTCAGTCATCGTACTCTTAGCTTTTTCCATATGTTACTCTTAGCCTTCATATATGATTGCAGTTTACTCAAAAAACCTTGAAAAGTCTATTTTAGCGAAATCGTCCAGCATAACTGATCTTCGCGCCGCATTCACCGGCAAAACGGTTGACCGTGCTGCAGCCGCTGTCGAGATGGAATTGCAAAATATGATGGGGCGAATAGTCGTGGATATCAAAGGTTCGACTGTCATCAAAAATTGCTATATTTTTTAGAGTGAAAATGCAAACTCCTGTCTTATTTTAGCGATCGCCGGATTTGCGCGAATTGCAGCTGGTGATGTGTTTGAAGTGACTGTGAGACATGGAAACCAAAAATGGCGAACAAGAGGCAGGACGCAAGCGGATCGCACGCAGAAATGGGACAGATCGCAAGCGATTCTAGCTTGTCAGCCAGATGCCAGCATTGAAGTAAAGGTGGGCATACTTAGGAGTTGACGAGATGATAGGCCTTACAAAGAGGGACGGTTTTAACTTATAGTGTGTTATTTATTTTGTAATAGTCACCGACGCAAACAATACGCAACGCTCGGTGCTGCGGCGCGTTCCTGAGTCTTTGACTCGCAGGCTACGCATTGCGATGAAAATTCTTACTGGCAATTCATTTTCGCTTGCCGTAACCTATAGTTCTTGCATTTTTTCGATATCAGTCCACGTGATGGTTTTATCAAAACCAATGGCAAAAAAAAAAGCGTTTAACTCAAAATTTTCCAGGTTGCTGAAGTTCGAATGTTCAAGACAAAGGTGCTTTCTGAGAGATCATTCGAGCCTTGCGAGCTGTTCTCGTCTGAGCCTCAACTCGTCACCATGAACCTCAATCAGATTGGAACCATAAAACTACAGCTGGTGGTTACATGGATGTGAGTTTATCTTGAAAGCAGATAACCAACATTAGAGTAGCGTTTCTCGTTTTGTTCCAGAGAATATATGCTACAAAGGGGCGTGGTAAGGGGCGGAGCTAAGGTTCAAAAATGGGCACAAATTCTTACTCTACAGTCAAGGAAGTTTTAAAAGAATCTTGATAAAACCACAAAAATATATGAATGAAAACCAAATCGAATATTATTTGAAAGGCATGTTATGGCTTCTTTGATTATTTTGATCATCACTTGGATACAGAGTAGTCTAAATCAAATCTCTGGCTTTCCGTAATTCGAGTAGGGGGATTTCCCGGTTAATGGCCGTAAAACAATAATTTATGTTTGTTTCTGAATTTCCATCTGAGAAAAACATCTTTGATTGTTCACTGCTTTCGTCATTTCTCTTTGAAGTGGTAAGTGGCACCTCAAAGGGGAATACCACAATTTTCTCATCATTGTGTGGACAACTGTCACGCAAATGTTTCTTCGAAGAAGAGTTTAACGTAGATGAGGAAGTGGAACTGTCACTCTTTCTTTGTTTGTCGAAGGACATTAGTTCCTTTCTAAAGATTTCTGAAAACTAGACAAGGGGGACGTGGAAATCTCCAAGAAAGTAAGGAAAATTTCCAGACCACTTCTTGCTTCTCACACTACTGCTCGGGCAGCTGTGGGACCAAAGAGTGATGAGCCACATAGTGAGATGATGGAGAAGAAGCCAAGAATCGTATTGAGAGAAAAGAAGCGAGGATCCGCCGCTAGGTAAATTTTTCCTTTGTTTTTAATTTTTATCGCTCGTCATTTTTGACAGGTTTTTGTTTCTTTTCTTATCTCTTGTGCCTCTTTATGTCCTCATAAGCTTATCAAGTGTTTATTTTATTGAAAAACCATTTTAGAGTTGCAATGAAGGAGCAATGGCGTTCATCTACTACACTTCTCGATAATATTTATCAGGACGTTAGCAAAACCATTCCAACCGTGGAAGCGGTGAGTTGACATAAATTTACAATTTTTGCTGAAACGACGAGGGCATGATTTCATGCGCGATGAATTTTTCTTGAACTCATATTCAGGGTGTCCCAAATAAATGTGAACACTGTTTGATTCTCAATAACTCTCTTGCTTTCATGCCTTTTGCCGAGCTTGAGGCACCATTTTATGGAGGAGATTCAAATCAGATCTACAGTTTGGAGCGAATCGTCGATCGCTTTTCATTACTGTAGGATTACAGTGGGAACTTTGACAAGGATTTTAGGCCATTGGAAGCCATATTCTCCTCGAAACAAAACCAAACAAGCCAAAAACTTTTATACTGTGGTAATGGAAGCCGCTGATTTCGAGTACGAAATTTCGACTTTACTGTGATGCTTCTTTCCAAGGTTAACCCAGGTAAAGCGTAATAACTGAATTTCCAGCATTTGTCAGAAAGGTGATTACACCGTCAAAAAAGCTAAAAACACTTATAAAAAGTTGTGTAACGGAATCAGCGTGCGTGAAAACCCTACCTAGTACACAATTTTTCTGATTTTTTTGAAAAAAATTTGGTCAAATGGTATTTCACAATAGATCCACATGCTAGAAGTTCATACCGTAATCCTACAGTAAACACCGACCGGTGATTCGCTCCATACTACAAATCTAAGTAGAACCTCGCTCTACAGAATGGTGCCTCAAACTCGGCGAAAGACATGAAAGCAACGGAGTTCTTAACGATCAAACTGTGTTCACATTTTTGGGACACCCTGTATTACTTCTTTATGAGCAAAAATTGATATCAGCTTATTTCACGTCTATTCGCACCCATAGTTCTAATGTACCTCAGGAGAATCAGAATGGTCCAGTTATAAATTTTTTTTGCATTCCCAATATTTCTTTGATTTAGAACGTTTGTAGTGAAGATAAACTAGTAAATAACACATTTTTTGAGTACTACTTTTTCCAGATGTCCACCTTTGATCTACGTCGTCCAGCGCAGTCAGTTAGCCCTGTTCGTCATGTGGGTAGGCGATCGGCCAGTATGGCTCACCTGGTAGCAACACCTTCGGAGAGTCCTGACAGCATTCGAGCATTCAATAAAAGGTAATTTTAAGCCGCGAGGCCTAAAGGCACGGTCCGCTTAAATCTGGGGCGGTGTTTGATATAACAAATAGCGAGGTCTCTGACCAAGTAAATGCCGAAGTTCTCCTGCAAAAGATGTATGGTGGATGCTGCTGGGGTAGCCACGCCCAATTAAGCCCGAAGTGGACTCCAGAGTACTTGAAATCCGAAAATGTTTTTTTGCAATGAAATTCGGGTCTCGATTTCTGTGTACTATTGAGCTCAGTTTCGGCTCATCTCTCTTAGACCACCCACATTGATGGGCGTGGCGACCCCAACAATGATCATCTTGTGGAAGGAATTTTTCGCCTCAGAATACACTCTCTGCGGCGAAATTTGGGCAATTACTTAGTAGGGGCCTCGCTATGGTAATGCATCAAAATCCCGCCAATCTCAGTTTTGGATGTATGGCGCCTCAAAAGATTACCTAATTCTCCTATCAATCATTACCACAATTTTGAAAAATAAAATTAATCTGTCGTAGGTTCGGCAGTGCAACGCCATCAGAGACCAGTAGCGACAAATCTGGCTCCTCAAACGAAATGCTTGAAACAGCCGATAACTTAGTGCCAACGGTGGATAGGCTAGCTTCAACCCAATATCCGGAGCTACAGTCGTTGGTTGAGACACTAAAGCAATGGCAGAATGTGCTGCGGGTTAGCTAGAATTGAAATTGTGATGGTGTTTGAACTATTTGATGCATAATTTTCTAGAAGTATAACCAACGCCGAAGCTCACTGACTCGCTCTTCGCTTTTCCACACTCCTAGCACGGCAAGTGAAGAACTTGACGACAATGTCCTGATTGCTGGAGATTTACAGTAAGTTTGAATACACCTTATCCTCCAGAAATCGACATTTCATGGATATTTTAGCTCTGAAAACGACAGCGGCATCGATTCTCTCCGTCAGCGATACTCGCCATTCGTTAGCGATGGCATGCGCAAGAAATATGGCGAAAGCGGTGGTGGAGGACGAAAAGATGGCAAACGTTTTAGACAGGTAACCGTCCCCCCCCCCACTTCTCCCACTTTTTCTCCCCCTGTCTCTCATTCGTGAGAGGAAAGCCGTTTTGCACAAGAGAATCCCACAGTCACCTTGCGTGACTTGTCTTTACACGTCGCGCACGCAGTAGGTAGACCGCCACAGAAAGTGTCGAGCGCGACTGCGGTCCCAAATGGAAATGCCTTAACAAATTACGGTCGTGCAATTTACCTTAGGCTGCGTTCATACTGATTCCCTTGTTCTGGAACTGTTCCCGCACAGTTCTCGCACTGTGCGGGAACTGTGCGGGAACTGTGCGGGAACAGTTCCAGCACTGTGCTGCATGCGCTGCAGCCGCCCCGCACCGTTTTGAACGGCGGGAGTTGGAGAATTTTGACCGTTTCCAACGGTTTTTCTTCCAGATTTCGCTCATTTTGGCCTTAATCCTCCACCCCACTTCCCTTTTTGATCAGCAGCACTGCGAACTCGAAGCGGGGTTGAAGAATGAGCGCTTTTCTGCGCCTTGTATTCGGAAAGATGGGCTATCGTGCGATTGTTCATTCTGTCTTCTTGTTTTTTGCTCAAAACTACTTCATTTGTTCCAGGAAGCGGCTGCCCAGTCTCCATAGCCATCTGCCACGAATTAGGGAGTAGGAGAAATCCTGAAATTGCATGAGTTGGGACTTGTCTCTTGGTTTTCATGATTTTGGGCGTTCTTAGCCTTGTTCGTTTTTCCATGTCGTTGCTTCTCCGTTCTTTCTTCTACACCGCTTCTCCTAGTGATGAGAAAGCTGTGAATTTGAAGCGGTGTTGAGGATTGAACGCTGTTCTGCTCCATGTATCCGGGAATATGGGCCTTCGTGCGCTCGTCCATTCTCTCATCGCTATTTTTGTTCAAACCTACTTCATATGTACTAGCAAGTCGCTGCGTAGTTTCGCATCTGTATTGAAATTGACATAGACAAGTCTCTAGAACACATAAAGTAGGCCTGAACAAAAACAGAGAAGATGGACGAGCGCACGAAGGCCCATATTCCCGGATACATCGAGCAGAACAGCGTTCAATCCTCAACCCCGCTTCAAATTCACAGCTTTTCTCATCACTAGGAGAAGCGGGGTAGAAGAAAGAACGGAGAAGCAACGACATGGAAAAACGAACAAGGCTAAGAACGCCCAAAATCATGAAAAACAAGAGACAAGTCCCAACTCATGCAATTTCAGGATTTCTCCTAGTCCCTAATTCGTGGCAGATGGCTATGGAAACTGGGCAGCCGCTTCCTGGAACAAATGAAGTAGTTTTGAGCAAAAAACAAGAAGACAGAATGAACAATCGCACGATAGCCCATCTTTCCGAATACAAGGCGCAGAAAAGCGCTCATTCTTCAACCCCGCTTCGAGTTCGCAGTGCTGCTGATCAAAAAGGGAAGTGGGGTGGAGGATTAAGGCCAAAATGAGCGAAATCTGGAAGAAAAACCGTTGGAAACGGTCAAAATTCTCCAACTCCCGCCGTTCAAAACGGTGCGGGGCGGCTGCAGCGCATGCAGCACAGTGCTGGAACTGTTCCCGCACAGTTCCCGCACAGTTTCCGCACAGTGCGAGAACTGTGCGGAAACAGTTCCAGAACAAGGGAATCAGTATGAACGCAGCCTTAACCCTAACGTAAATGTTGACTGATTTTACATGGAATTTTTCTAGATGAAAGAACGACGAAAATCGCTGGGAGCAATGCTGGACCCAGCTGAGCTTGAACAAATGTACCTAGAAAGTGATCGTTTCTGGGAAAGCCCAGATGATGACACTAAGGGAACAGCTACAGGAAATGCTGAGATCGATATGTGTCTACGATATCATTTATCTAGAGTGTCGAGATGTCTCCAGGTACTTTTCTCCGTGAATTTTGCCCTTTCGCATTTTTTCCAGGCCTAGAAATATCTGTTTGTGGCAGCCTCGAAGTAAATTTTTTTCTAGATCCTTCAGTCCATTTCCACAGACTCTCCTCTGGTTTACAAATCAACAGAAACTTTGAAAAGATTGGAGGTGGAAACGGTGACATTAGACGATTTGCTACGATTAGCAAATACTGTGCCAGCAGTGCCAAATGTGGCCAATGGTCAGTTTTTGTCCTAATAATAAGAGGCGAGCGGGGGAAGAGGTAGGGGTAAGCTTGCTAGCTTCATTAATAAAGTTTTTTCTTTATCACACAAGGGTACAATTGAGTCTCTGAAAAAATGCTTAGAAATCAAACTGACTTGCAATCAGAACTGGGAATGATAGTAACAGTACCCTATGTAAAATCCATTACTGTGGAGTGGCCGAAGTGGCTCGGGTACCTGGACTTCTTATGTGAATTTTGACTGGGAGGCCTCAAATAGGCCATTGCCCAAGCTGCAGCTTATACACTTTATACGTGAGCGAGAAATTTAACTTTAAATTTCGGACCAGACAGTATTCCTACAGTGATCGAAGCGCTGATTGGTTCGTTTAAAGAAGCAGTCTGGGATTGCTTGGACTTGAATATACGATAGTCATAGGTGCTGCGCTGCTTGTGTCGATAATGACGCTTACATAGTAGTGCGCCAGCACCGCGCTAGTCCATGCCGCCCACGTGGACGCGCTTATTGATTGATAAATGCGGCTGGCGCTGCACTGGCACTGGCACGGCGCTGGGTCGGCACTGGCATGGGCAACTCTAAATGCAGTTCAAGGCTACAAAACCAGTAGCGCTTATAAATCAAATTGGCCAGGATGAGTAAAAAAATGTAAGATGATTTTTTGAAAATGTAAGATGCTCTTTTTCAGTCCTAGCCGAAATCGGTGCTGATCCATCACTACAAGAAATTTGGCTTTCTGCTTGCTATCCACTTCACACTCAGCTGATTGCACCAAGAGATGATCTTCGCACTCAAATCAAACTTAATATCGCTCATATTGTTGAACAGAATTACCCACATCTTGTCAATAGAGGTGAGCTATTTTATTTGAAATTATTGCTCAACGAAAAATAATTTTCTTTTCAGTCGCGGATTCAATTATTCGACTAATGGCCGATTCTACTCAAGAAGAGATGAAATTCGTCACAGTGTTCCATTTTGTTGGCGTGTTTAGAGGACGACATTTTGAGTCTTATGTCGAGAATCTAGGACATGATGGTTAGTGTTTCGAGTCAAGAGGGGTTTTCTTGACAGGACCTTTTTGATTCTTTTTCTTATGCCAATGTATGTTTAGCATGGATGATTTCTCTTCTGTCAAGTGGACAAGCATCTCGTGTATTACAAGTGGCTGATCGTTTATCAAGAGTTCCAATAGTGCCACCAATTGAAAGTCTCAAACAAATCGGTCTAATTCTTGCGGACGGTGAAGAGCAAAACCGCAAGATTTTAGGTTAGTTTGTTTTTTCTTTGAAAAAAAAATGAAGGCCAATATGCATTTTTGACGAAATTTCCCATATGTACATAATTCAAATATTTTATGATGTACCAGTGAGCTGTGCAATGTTTTTCTCAAGATTTAGGGGGAGGGGGGGAGGAATGGACGCGACAAAGATTTTCGTGCTAAAAGACCTGAAGTTTGCCACGCCCTTCATTCTGGCAAGCATACAATCTCAAATCACAAGAAAATTTCTACAGGGCTGACTTGAATACTCAAGAGTTTTAACAAATGTTCGAATCAGTTAGAAGTGGAAACAGGTCACTTCTCATAAGGCTAAAAAATATTGCACCCGTTTTCTGGAGAAAGAGAGGGGATTGAGATAAAAAATGAAATCCACTGATGATGAAGCATTTTGACACTGGAAAAACTATACAAATCATGCTATTTTTCTATGCTTGTTCTTGACCGATAACTAGAAAAATGGGGAACGAAACTTTAATCGCCAATTTTCGAAAAATATTATACTAATTAGTGGCGATCCGGAAAACTATCTGTTTGTTTGTGATTAAAAACCAAAACATTTTAGACATTTTGGAAATTTTTCGTACTTCGTTTAAGTGGGGGGGGGGGAATATTTAGGAGTCAGGATTAACGCTAAATTATATTATTTAGAGCGATATCTATCCTCTGCAAGAGGGCAGCTTCAGTCGGACCTCATTTCCTCATACCTGTGCTTACTGGAATCCGATGAGGAGCTTGGTCGACTCGGCGCTATTCGAGCACTCACCGTCATAAATGTGAGGATTTTTCATTCATACTATCCCGTAAAGATTTCGCAATTACAGAACTCACGCACCACGAGGCAGCTTTCTCACGTCGCAGAGAACGACTCGTCCGAAAAGGTGAGACGTGAGGCTGCTCGACTGATACGTCGTCTTGGCGGAAGCAAAACACCGTCAGATGACGAGCAAATCACCCGCATTTGACCCGCTCAAATTAGTTTGTGTGTCTATATCTGTCTTCATTTGTACCATGTTTCTTTTCTGCTCAGTGAATGTGCGGTTCCTAAAGCTTTCTTCCTCCATGCTAATGTTTTACTTATGGCATGTTTGATTAACCTTTGATTTAATTGGCTTGACAGCTGGAAGGCGCGGCTTTGTGACCTAAATGAGGCCGCTCGCGTCCGCGACGCAGTTGGCGTCTCTCTCGCGCGCGTGCTCTCTTATCATTACCTAGTCTTAATCAGGTCACGAAGTCCCGCCTTCCAGCCGCCAAGCGAGTTGAGTCAAAGGGTACATAGGGTTAGATTCTATATCTTAAGCACGGCCTGTACTTCACATTTTTATAAGATTGTTTTTTGAGCCAGATTACTACTTTAACCGTGTGCCTTAATCTGTGTGTGGTTCTCGCCAATTTTTCGGCGGGTTACCCTTTCCTTGAAGTTTGATTTTTGTAGAAGTATTTTCTTAGCTATCCATCCCACAAAATTACGTTTATTGTCAATGTGTCATCTTCAGGTCTTTAGACACCATAATTTCTATCCTCTCTTATTAAGCTATAATTGTACGTACTTAAAGCTCACAGCACATATCTTGCTAAAATAAATTTATGACCGTGTTACTATCGCTCACTGCTCCATATCAATTATCTGATGACTTTGTTAATGTAGTAATTTCCTCTTAATCAACAACTTTGTGTGTAGATCTTTATCCATTACATCGTTGTGCGCTGGAAATGCTCGCCATCGTCATTGAGCCCTTTCGGGTTTGTATAAAGAGGTTATAAATAAATATAGTCAATATACTGTATTAATTCTTGCATAATCACTTATGGGGAACGAGCAGCTGTCACATATGACTTTATGCATTGTAACGTAAGGAATTTTAGTGTAACGGACCTCTCCCCCCTAGCCTGCTGAATGATTTTATTTTTATGTGTTTATCTATTGTTACATAGAGTATGGACTCCTATAGGGCTTACCAATTGCAGTGTCGGGTGCTGCACGAACATCTTCGCTCCTGCGCGGGTGTTAGCGGGTGTAAGACTCTTCGAGGGATGTTGGCCTCGGACTGATTCAATAACTGTGTGAGAAAGGCAATATTGGTGGTTCAGGTTTATTAATGCGAGTACGAGGATGTGCGAGCAAACCGTTCACGGCAAGCTCGTTAGGAGAGTGAGGTCAAAGCCTCCGAGATACGAAAGGGTGGTAAGGCCCGCCCACTCAGCGGGTGGTCCCTCGATACGGTAATTGGGGGGAATCATCGTACGATGATACTCCGCCGCACAACGACAACAAAAGGAAACGTGAAAACAAGGATGACAACATATTTAACTTGGCGATGCTTCTTGTCTTCAGCTGTGGTGTGATGTGGGCGGCTTGTGGGGCTGAGCGGCGGTTCGGTGGGCTTTGAAGTTGACTGTGGCTGTGGCAGGCTGGGAGTCGTTGGCTGGTGGCAGGGTGGAGTCGTTGGCTGGTGGCAGGGTGGAGTCGTTGGCTGGTGGCAGGCTGGGAGTCGTGGCTGGTGGCAGGCTGGGAGTCGTTGGCTGGTGGCAGGGTGGAGTCGTTGGCTGGTGGCAGGCTAGGAGTCGACGATCGGCTTGACGGCTGGCGGGAGGGCATCAGTGCTTGTGGGGTCGCTTTGTGGGAGGCTGCGGCCTCCTCTTCTGTGAGCAAAGTAGATGATTGTGACCAAGGCCACAGACACTACATTTGACTGCACATGAATCTTCATGGGCGTCCTTCAGGCACTGAAGGCATAGTCCTAGTCGAGTGGCTTGTGACGTTTTGGATACTGGATCCGGGTAACGAAGGCATCTCGCTGAGTAGTGGCTGTCACGGTTTTCGGCAACCGTGCAGAAAATACAGCTAGACTTGGGTGCACTGCGTTCTAGGAGCACAGCTTGCTGGTCGAGTATCGTCTGCATTTTCTGCTCGAGGGCCTGCATTTGTTGTTGAAGGGCCAGCCTATCCTGCTTAGCGGCTTGCATCTCGGGCAGTAGGTGGTGAAGCAGAGTTGAGACGTCACATCTGTCGAGTTCGTCGATAGCAGCTTGCATATCTGGCGAGAATGACATGTTGGTAATGTGGTATAGTCCATCTGCTTTTATACAGATTTTTACTGCCTATCTAGGTTCCGCCCATGCTATATAGCCTAAGTTGACTGTATGCTGCTTTATATCTTTGAAGTAGGTTTGTTGCCCTTGACATAGCGGATTGCTGCCTGGAGGTTATGTGATGGGTGAAGTAGTTGGTGGGGCCGGTGCTAAGTGCTCGATTGATAGCGTGCATGACTAGTTGTTATATACATTATCCAGATATGCATATAAAATCAGTTTCTGTTATCAGCTGATCCCTTACATACTAAATGGGACCAGCAGAACACTATTGGAGCCGTAAAAATTTTTATGATGGCCATGATGATGTAGATCATAATTTTGGCAGCGTACACTAAGGCTATCGGGCCTGCTAGGTAGGTCGCAAGCGTGAGAAACGCTACCGACGTGAGAGCCGCTAAACTGATTTTCCAATGCTTTTTTATGATCTCTATGATCGGCGCGACGTCTGGCACGCTGATATCGGCGAACCATTGATGGTGCAAGGGTACAGCGTGGGAATCTTCATCGAACGACACTGGATCAGCTGTTATGTGATAATAAAGAGTGCCTTGGAGCATAATAGATGCTGGTCCGCGGTGACATTGTACATTGCATTTTTCACTGATCACTGCTCGTTCGAGTGCTAGGTTAACAGTGGTAGAATCGTTGTTTGAAGAACATTGGACATTGAAATTCTGGGTTTCACATGAGACCGTCACTGTTCTCTCAAATGAAGATTGACAGTATGCAACGACATTAGCGCCATGTAAACAGCTATAACATCCAGTCAGCTTGCTGAGACGAACTTCGCATTCCATTAGGAATATTTCTTCTGCTGATTCAGCTAATATTGAAGACGCGATTGACAACGTGAATTCGCTTTCATCTGAAAGTGCTATCACGTCGTTACCTGATCTTGTTATTGTGGAAACTGGGGTTTCCAATGGTAGTTTCGCAGATGAGCGATTTCTGAGGGCATCGATCGAGTCGTCCGGACACAGACATCGGTGAACGGAGTTGTCGCAATGGCAGCGCATACTTGTAGTGCATGATGAGAAGTTGTGTTTAACTTGCAACTCACTGCTGCATTCCACTGGAATTTGGAATTTGTCTGGTAAGACAAATGACTCGCTTCGAGATGGCGAAACGCTTGTTTAGCAGTGGTAGCGATAACTTCTGAATAGAAATGACCGTTACGTTGAAATTGTTGATCTTTTCCGTAACATATGGCTGGATCAAGCGAGTGCTCCTAGATGTTTTTCCCAGCTTTGTGTATTCCATGCGTATATGCACACTGGGCATCCATTCTAAGCAGGATATCACTTCATATACGTGATCGGAGATTGGTCTATGAGTGACTCGATAAAACTGACATGCTGGTAGAGGAAGCAAGCATCCGCAGGGTATTCCTCCGCAAATGTCGATGCAGCCGGAATATCCTGGAAATTTGTAGGCCTTCCGCAGTTCTTTGACGGTTTCGTTCGCGTGCATAGTATGACACTTGTCATGAATGCACGATCCTGCTTGGGCACATCTTTCTGCATGGAAGATGCGAATTTTGGTATCTCTGGTGAAGGTGTGCAGGACTTTGGAGCAAGTGAACTGTGTCGGTCTTTTAGTGAGCTTTACCATACCTACGGTCACATTTTCATGCATAATTTCAATGCATATCTCTGATATTACCTTATTGAATAGCAACTCATTACTGTACTCGTAAAGCTGTTAGCGGGTGTAAGACTCTTCGAGGGATGTTGGCCTCGGACTGATTCAATAACTGTGTGAGAAAGGCAATATTGGTGGTTCAGGTTTATTAATGCGAGTACGAGGATGTGCGAGCAAACCGTTCACGGCAAGCTCGTTAGGAGAGTGAGGTCAAAGCCTCCGAGATACGAAAGGGTGGTAAGGCCCGCCCACTCAGCGGGTGGTCCCTCGATACGGTAATTGGGGGGAATCATCGTACGATGATAGCGGGACTCTGCACATCCCGCGAGCATCTCTCCAATCTGCAGTCGATTGAGGCTCCACCTTTCTCACGCTCGCGGTGGGGAAGTAACCAGAGAGCATGTTCGCGAAAGAGGCGCAGAGTTCAGGCAAGGCGGCCGCGCGAGAGCGAAGAGCTGGTGCACCCGACACTGCAATTGATAAGACCTGTACGTGCAAAATCAGACAATAAAAACATGAAGAAGAAAACAATGCACAATAACGACATGAACAAAAAAACAAGCCTGAGGATAAAGAACAAAAGCAGCTTCTTGATTGTAAGTAACTCTAAATGTCTGTCTTGAAGGTGGATTCAGTTGTTAATATTACGTTCCTTACCACATAATCAACATTAGGTAAAACGACGCCCCCAAGAAGTTCGCTCTGACTTTAGACCTTGTTCTTGGTATTGCTAATTTCTGCGTCCACCCCGTGTATTAGACATTACTGGTAGGAAAATAATCATTGACATTCTGCATTCCTGAACATGGTTTTATGCGACACAAACGAATCAAACGTGCGCCTTCTATGAGCCAGTGTCGGAAGTTTGAATTTTAGATTACGGGTTATTCTATCGGGAATTCGATCGTATACCAAACCAGAGGTTCTAATAAGTACAGGATGTCCCAAAAGTCTTGTATCCTTGTATTTTTTCTGATAAAGAACAAAACAAATATGGAGATGAAAATTTGGTGCACACATTACTCAAACAATATCGAATATATAACATTCGAATTCCTTGATAGCATCATTTCTTGCTAATGGAAACATCTAAACTGTTGGCGATCCCCGCTGCCGAGGCACCAAATAGTCATCATAAATTTCGTCCCACAATTTGCGCAAATAGTTTCTATCGCTCAGAAGATATGCTGTTTGATAGAGCAAGTTCCCAACTACAGTATACTATAAAAAAGGAATTTGGAGACTTTAGGGTTGAAATTATACGAATTTTCATAAGTAGGAGTGTTTAGACCTTATGCTAAAGAGTTTTGAACACAGTTGCAGGAAATGAAATTAGAAAACCGGCTACAATGTGTCTCAAAATCAAGTTTGTCATCCAAGAAAACTAGATTGTCTGAGGGACACATGAAGAGAGAATTATTTCAGATTCAGTGAGTGCTGCATCTATAAATTCAAGTTCAAAGCTACAGCGGCAGTGGCACTCATTCGAATTCCCAGAGTTTTTTTTGACTGTTTCGATGAAAGAGATTTTTGAATGCAGCAACTATAGTAAAAGTAATGCATTCTCTATATAGACAAATTGCACAACAATGTTCCAAATTTCTTCGATAGCGTAATAAATGGTGAACCAGGAAGAAATAGATTCTCGCGTTTTTGAGAGAAATGATTCAATAATACCATTTTTGTCAATTAAGTATAAGGTCCATTCATTCTGTCTGTGACTTCATCAACGAACCCTGAGGGCAAACCTTACCCCTTAAAGGCAGTGGGATCGGCAGAATGCCCGTGGCAAAACAAGGTCACAGGGTAGGAGCCCCATAATGGAACCTATGGGCCATAGTTCGATCTTTCTCTGCCACTTCTAACCCTTGAAATTTCAACGCGAAAGCAGCGCTCATCTCCTCTCCTCTCCGATCCCGCCCATCCCATGGACGAATGACTTCCACGGTCAGAGCGCGCAGCCGCAATGCATGAGCATGAGGGTACCGCAACGACTCTGAGTCTTCGCCATGGCGGACTTCGCGTTCACTCGTCCGTGGGATGACGGGGT